GGATTACTTGTGGATTATTGTGATGTTTTTATCAGCTGTTTGGACTCTCATTCTGACGGCACCCATTCACTGCAGAGGATACACTGGTGAGCAAGTGATGTGATGCTAAATTTATCCAAATCTGATCAAAAAAAAAAACTAATCTATATCTTGGATGGCCTGAGGGTGAGTACATTTTCAGCAAATTATCATTTTTGGGTGAAGTGTTCCTTTAAAGCTGTGCAATTCATAAATCCATTAATATAGTAATAACAGTATCTATTTGTATTTGTAGGTTCCTTTTTATTCTGCTGGGGCCCAAAGGAAAGGCCAAATCATACCATGAGATCGGACGTGCCATCGCCACGCTCATGTCTGATGAGGTGTGTTTATTTGCATGCTAACAGTGTTTAGTGTTCCTCCGGTGATATTAGCTGAACTGTGACCTAACGCTGTGTGCTTTCGGCTCCTGCAGGTGTTTCATGACATAGCTTATAAAGCGAAAGACCGCGGTGACCTGCTGGCAGGCATTGATGAGTTCCTGGATGAAGTCATTGTGCTTCCTCCAGGAGAATGGGACCCTGATATCAGGATCGAACCTCCTAAATCCATCCCGTCTGCAGATAAACGGTACTTACCACACCGCCCTGCATTATATGTGCTGAATGAAATCCAATACTTGCTTGTTACTAATTTTGAGGTACTGGTTCCAAAAATAGTGTCTGTTTTGCTTGAGCATGTCAGTCTTTCTCACAAAATATGATGCATTTTGTAGCATTTTTGCTTTTGACAAACATTTGTAAGGTGATGAAGTCTTGTTTTATCCCTTAATCAGCAGAAAAACTGATACAGAGACACGACTCCTGTCTGAATCTGAGCCAGATTACAACTCTTTGTTCAATTTCAGGATTTGCACATCTATTAATGATTCTGAAGAAAATTATTTTATGCCTAATTCTGATTTCCACTCAATTGCAATACATGCAGTACTTCTATTGTCATTAAAACCAAAACATTTAACATTTGACTGCTTTTGTTTTGTTGATATTGTTTAAATCAGCATCATCAAATTGGGTAACATTAAAACAAAAACCTGAGTAGATGTGTGTGTGTGTGTGTTTTCAGTAAAAACATTATTGCTGGAGGGGAAGGTCTTCAGATGAACGGCGGAGCTCCTCATGACGGGAGTCCAGGAGGCGGCGGCGGCGGCGGTGGCCACGCGGTTGGTGATGAACTCAAATTTACCGGCAGGTAAGTATATGAATAAGCACAAATACATGTTCATGAGCACTTAGTTTAACAATTAGCACAGTTGAAGTGATTTTATGTTTTTTCTGCACTGTGAAAATTGCAGTTATTGTATTTACATAGTCATTCATATGTTTGGGTCGGTAAGATTTTTTAAATTTTTCTGAAAGAAGTCTCTTCTGCTCACCAAGGCTGCATTTATTAAAAATACAGTAAAAACAGTTAAATTGTCAAATATTATTACAATTTAAAATAACCGTTTTAAATTTGAATATACTATAAAATGTAATTTATTCCTGTGATGCAAAGCTGAATTTTCAGCATCATTACTCCAGTCTTCAGTGTCACATGATCCTTCAGAAATCATTCTAATATACTGATTTGCTGCTCAAGAAACATTTCTGATTATTAATGTTGAAAATTTATATTTTTTGTGGAAACCATGATTAGGATTCTGTGATGAAAAGAAAGTTCAAAAGAATAGCATTTGTTTGAAATAAAAGTCTTCTGTAACATTATAAATGTCTTTTACTGTTACTTTTGATCAATTTAAATTGTATTTGCTGAATAAAAGTATTAATTTCTTTCCCAAAAATATTTTGAACGATTGTATGGAAGCCCGTTTCTGCCACTAGATAAAAAAATAAAAAAAGGTAATTGCTTTTTATCTCACAATTCTGACTTTTTTCCTCACAATTTGGATATAACAGAAGAGAGGTCTGAATTGTGAGATATAAACTCGTAATTGCGTAAAAAAACGTCGGAATGCAAGATTACAGATTGTATGCAAGATGTAAATCAAAATTTGAAATAACCTTTTTTTTTTTTTTTATTCTGTGGCAGAAACAAGTTTCCATATCTTTAAACCAGCCTGAAATTAACATTTTCTAAATTGCAATATGTAAACTCACAATTCAGAGGGGGAAAAAAATATCAGAATTGCAAGAAAAAAGTCTGAATTCTGAGTTTGTAGTCTGAGTTTATATCTTGGAATTCTGACAGAAGTAAAAAAAAAAAAAAAAGGTCAAAATTGTGACGTTAACCCTTGCAATTACCATTTTTTTATGTTTTAATCCCATGGTGGAAACAAGCATTCGTACGCATTTATTCAAAGTGGAAGGAAAATATATTGTTGCATCTTATCTTATTTATCAACAAGCCTGGTGTTCATGTACAGGGGTTTCGGGAGTATTTGAAAAGTGGGGGGAGATTAGCTACTGCTAATGTGAGCATGTGTTGTGTCCTGCAGGGGGAGCTGCTGAGCCCGTGTCGCTGTAGTGGTTCTGTTCGCTGCACTCATGAGCCCTGTCTTATTAAGTGGATTAGTGAGAGAGGATCCTGGAGCTGTGAACTCTGCTACTACAAATACCAGGTCATCGCCATCAGCACCAAGAACCCGCTACAGGTAACTCACGGCCTGCCTGGGCTTATGTGGACTTAGTACAAAAGTGCAAAAGTATTATTTATTATTTTATTTCATATACTTCATTCTCCTACTCAAAATACCTAAAAGAGAGGGGTCTAATGCCCCAGTCATACAGATAGGATAGAGTGGGTTAGAGCTTAGTCTGACATTATAATGAATTTTTAGATGTCAGAACACTTGAGCTCTGAGGATCATATTATTCCTGGTTGGCTCATTTTGAGTCAAACAAGACCAATTCAGTGATTTGTTAACTTGAGACTTGATCAGCCCGGATCATTGGATAAGTGTGTTGTGAACTGGGGCAATCGGATCAGTTGAATTCACAAATAAATCATTAAATGTGATTTATGAATCAGTTCATTGAAAGAAATTCAATGAATGATTTGTTCACCAATCAGACATTGTTTATCAGGGCTCAGAGCATGTCTCAAATTCTTTACTTCAAAATAACAATCCATTTTTTTTAATGTAGTGGAAGTACCCATATGCAAATGTATGTACATACAATTTACATATATGAAATATAATGTCATATGAAGTAAAAACACATTAAACCTGTTAGAAACTTGAACAATTTCATATATATATATATGTGTGTGTGTGTGTGTGTGTGTATTAAACTAATTAATTAGATTAAAGCGTTAAAGCAACAGCCCTGATATATATATATATATATAAATACATATAAAAACAAACATGTTTCATTTCTGTACACCACATGGCCAAAAGTGTGTGGACACCTGAACACGACACCCACATGTATTTGTTGAGCAAAACCATGGGCATTTAATTTCAAAACCATGGGCATTAAGGCATCAGTCCTTTCTTCCACTCTTCTGGCAAGGCTAGACGGCGGAACACGGCTGCGGGAACATTGCTCTCATTCAGACACCATCAGTAGCGGTTTTTGGCTCTGGCTCACAGTCATCCCAAAGGTGTTCAGCGAGTTTCAGCTTTTGTGAAGGCCAGCCAAGTTCTTCTGTACTAGAGTCAGTAAATCTTTTCCTCATGGATCCCGCTTTGTGCAGAGAGCATTGTTTTGTTGGGAAAGAAAATAGTGAGTCTCATTTTTTGGATATTGGACTGAATCAGAAAACACATTCATTTGAAGGAGATGTTCACAAACTTTGGCCATATAGTGCATCTTGGGTTACCATGTATGAAATATGAATATGGTAGTCATTGAGCACCATGAACCATTGCATTGCAGTGTTAATTTCGTTGACGAATAATTTTCGTCATAATGTTCGTCAACGACATTTTTTTTCACTGACGACAACGAGACGATAACGAACTAAAACTCTTTTTGAATGACAAAAACTATGACGAAAATATATGGACATTTTCGTCAACGAATAAAAACGAGATGAAAATGTTAGGGAGGAACGATTTTGGAAGAGATTCATTCAATTTCAGAACGAATCTGCTGCGTGGTTAGGAGTAGTGTTGTTTTTGGCGGCCTGTTTTAATTTTAGTTTTAGTCTAGTCTTTGTGTGAAACTGTCATTTTAGTTTTTATTAGTTTTAGTCACGTTCATACTCTTTTTAGTCTAGTCAAGTTTTAGTCAACTAAAAGTCTGAGCATTTTAGTCTAGTTTTAGTCGACGAAAACGGTGAAAATCTTTAGTAGCCCTAAAGATTAATCTACATTTATTTATAGAAATAAATGTCTGCTTGAAAGAATGAAGAATATGGTAAACAAGTTGCTATAAAGAATGCATAATTAGCCCATATAACCATTGGTATTTCATTAAAACGAAGACCATGTTCTTGTTCCTTATGAGAAGTGGTTTTATTTAATTTTAACATAAAGGCATGTTGTGTGTCACC